GGGGCAATAGCTTTATTGAGGTAAAACTCCGATGTATTTAAAGTGTCTGATTCAATGGCTTTAACTTCAGGCACACAGCTGTGCACCCATCACCACGGTCAAGTTTAAAACCTTTTTATTAGTCTGAAAAAGAAGAGAGAGATAGAAACTCCACATCCCTGTATTGTCCTCATGCCTCCATCCTCCCCCAGCCCCAGGCAACCAGTATGTCCTGTTTCTCTAGATTTGCCCATTCTGACATTTCATAGAAATGCCATGATAAAATACATGTTCACTGTGACTGACTTCTTTCCTGTAGCCTGAGATTTTCAAGGTTCATGTGTCAGCCCTGCATTGCGTTTTATTTACAAATATATTCCATGGTATGGATGGGGCACATTTTATTTGTCCGTTCCTTCGTTGATGGACATTGGGTTGCTTGGACTTTTTGGCTACAATGAGTTACACTGATGATGGCTCATGCACAAGTCTCTGCATGTGAGAGGGGCCTTGGTGATGAACATTCCGTCTTGGCCAAACCCCTGGGCATCCAGGGGGAGGGGGTTCTCATCTGCATGTCAGGAGGGTCTCTGAGTCTGGACTCAGGGTCTGGATGCCTCCGTTGTCCATCAGGGAGTGGGGGCAGCTGCCCACCTGTGCTTGAGCCATTCTGGCTGCTGACTTCTTCCCTTAGAGTGAAAGCCCGCAGGAGGCAAGCAGCCGGGAGACCAAATGTCACGAATGATGAAGACCCTGTCATGGGCACAGTCACCTGGGTGAGTGATGGGGTGTCTTCTCATGCCGTGTAGGGGGGCTGGGCATGTCCATTAAGGAGCCCACACCCGCTCCTCTGTGGTCGGCTGGACAGACAGCTGGGAGTTGACTTCCCCTTCATTTCCCGGAACCCATGGTCAGCCTCCTGCCCCAGCCACAGTGACCACTGAGCCCACCTCACCTCTCTGATAGGCACAGGCTGCCAGAACCAGCTCCCCCAAACTATTACTTCCTTCCCATTGTGGGCATGTTACTTCACCTCCCTTTACTGCAGCTTCTTTATCTGTAAATGGGGATAATGAGAGTATCATGCTTACTGGGTTTCTAAGGGAATGAAATATGATCAGTAGGCCCTTGATATGGTCTAGTCAACATCTGCAATAGTCTCAAAAAATAAAAAAAAATAAAAAATAACAGCAATCTTGAGCAGGAAGGAGGATGGTCTTCAAGATGAAAGTCCACCATTCTCCTAGGCCCCAGCACCTGAATAAGTCTCTTTCTTTTTGCACCAAAAGAACAAAACCCCCAAAAAGAAACAAAAGAAAAAATTTTTAATGAATGTGCGAACAGTCGAGTCTATGAGAAGTGTCTGTACAATAAGAAGATGAAGGAAAAAACTGTCCCCTCAGCCCCACTTTTCTTTGGGACCATGTCTGCCTCATGCCTCTCGGACGCCCTTCTCTCCCCGTCACTCAGGGCTCCAAGAAAAATCTTCAGCCGGACGGGCCCCCAGACCAAGCGCCACCTGCTGAGAAGGGCCCTCTGTCGGGGGAGCAGCAGGAGCTCTACTACGCCAACCTCACCTTTGAGGGGCTGAAGCCACGGGAGCCTCGGGACCAGGAGGCCACCAGCACCCACGAGTACTCAGAGGTCAAGCGCGCAGGCCAATGAGGACTCGCTCAGAGCTGGGTGCTGGCCAGAGGCATCACAGCCCCCCCTGGGGGAGGGGGGTGGGGAGAAGTCCAGGACTCATTGCTGAAGCATGAGGAGACCTTGCGGCCTGATTAACATTAACGGCTGGATGAGCATCCCCAGGCAGAGCAGGAAGAAGACAGGCGATGGGGTTTGAGAGACGGGATGGGCCGGCTCTCACGTCCACCTGCACCTGTGCTGCAGGTGAGCTGCTCCGTGACGCTGTCTCTCGCCCTCCTGCTCCCTCCAGAACAGCACTTCCTGGCTCCTGGCACATGGTCTAAGGTCTGGGTTTTCTAATAAATCCCGTCTTCTCATCGTTCTCTGGGTGGCTGTCTCCCGGATCGCACCCCGTCTGACAATGACAAATCACACAGACTACAGTGTAGACCCCGGTTAGGATTCTCCTCCTCCAGGCGTCGTTACTGTGGCCGGTAGCAGGTGGGTCACTACAATCCCATCAAGCACTGAGGGAATTCACAGCCCAGTTTCTGGCCCTATTGCGTCTCACCTATTTTCAGTCCTAACCACAAGGTGGCGATGTTTACAGGGGCCTCTCCTTGGCAAGACCTCATTTCTGGCCCCATGAGATTCTTCCTCTTCTTCTTCTTCCACATTTTTATGGATTTCAGAGAGGAAGGGAGAGGGAGAGAGAGAGAGATAGAAACATCGATGATGAGAGCGAATCATTGATTGGCTGCCTCCTGCACGCCCCCTACCGGGGACTGAGACTGCAACCGGGCATATGCCCTTGATGCGTATCAAACCCAGGACCCTTCAGTCTGCAATACAATGATCTATCAGCTGAGCCAAACCGGCTAAGGCCCCATGAGATTCTTGAATGTTCTACTTAGCTTCTCCGTGACTGCTCAGAGTCAGCAGTCTATTTGAAGAAAAAGTGGCTTCACATACTTGTCTCATCGCTGTTGACTTCCTGCTTCTTCCCTCTTCACTGTGCAAATTTTATTTTTGTTGACTCCAAACATTAAAAACAAATTTTAATCCAGCTTTCCTAGTTTGTTTGTTTTTTGTTTTTTCTCCTTGGCCTGGCTTGCTCTGCTCTTCAGGACAACTGTCTCCATGCTGTGGTCCACTAAGGCCACAGGATCCTTTCCCCAATCTGAATATTTAACCTTTATGTAGAAGAAATTAAAACTTAGAATTTATTTGTATGACCTACCAGCTCCAAATACAGTATCGCAACCCAACTTCTGATACTTCATTTCTTCATTTGAGCTGAAGAAGTGGACTCGCCATAGTGCCAGGCACAGAAAAGGCTCACCGATTCTGTTTTGGGTTGTCCCGAGCTCCGTGACAGTACAAGGAAGGGTTTAAAAGCTAAATAATGGGGAGGAAGTAAGGGCAGGGCAGGAGTCTGACAGGTTTTCTAGAGGGGGTGAGAGTAGAGTCAGCCCTGAGGGGCAAGGGACCCAGTGACCTCTCAGAAATGCATTGTGTCTCTGAAGCCGTCTCCTCTTCCCTAGGATGAGGGAGGTTCCGGGGGAGACTGAGGAGGAGTTTGGCTGGACCTCTGTCCTGTAGGACAGAATGTCACCAGCCTCATTCCCCAGCCTTACCTCCACATGAGACAGGGCAAGACTCGGCCTCCAGGGGGCGATCCATAGACCTGGGGAGCTGCTGGCCAGAGAGGTGGCGCTGTCCGTGGTCCTGGAGCACACCTGGGCTCAACTCTGCAAAGGTCCCCAGCCTTAGGCCAGCAGGGCACCTAACCCGGAGGGGCTTTGGAAAGTCTGGGTTCCTCTGGGGAAGGAAAAGTCAGGAGAAGCGGTGGGAGTGGGCTGGGTTCATCTCTGTGCTTTTCCTCTGGCCCCTCTGGTTGTCTTATTCTTTTGAGCTTGTGCCAGCAAAATGCTGAGATTCCACTTAGCATTTGCCACCGAAATGTCCCCAAAAGAGGAAGTTCCCCAATGAATTGCTACAACATGTCTTAGATCTACCAAGCTTGTGAGGCCACCACTAGGAACTGAAATCTCAGGGTGATGTACAGAGAGGGTAGTTTTGGGGGAAGGTGGTTCCAGTTAAG